GAACCCAACGGGAAGGCTGGCATTATTTTCCCTGGAGACTGGTATTAAGCCCAGAGTTTGGGGTGAAGGAAGCAGGAGGCTGGACCCAGCGGTCCAGTGCACCCCACATTGCTCCCCTGCACCGGGGAGTGATGATCCTCAGGCGGACAGAAGGGATGGGGGCAACCACTCAAGATCTCTGCCACGGCTGGCTGAGGAAAGACTGAGCAGAAGCTCAGGGGTGCGGCGATGAGCCTCATACCATGATACCTCATGAGAGCACGGGCAAGCAGACTGCGGGTGGAGAGATCCAGAGCCCAAGAGGACCAGGTGGTCTCCTTTTGCACAGCAGAAGTATGAAATAAAAATCCGACTGCAGTAAATGCTGCTACCTACAATCCCAGGAAGAAAAAAAAACCCTAAGGTTTGATGAAAGGCAGCATTCAGACAAATCCTCCACATCTTCAGGCAGATCCTGGCTCTTGATTAAGACTTGCCTGGCGCAAACCAAGCAGTCTGGCAAACGCAGCCGATAGTGGTGACACACTGGTGTCTCAGCCCAACGCAGCTAGGTGTAGTTCAGTTTGGTCTCCCAGATGGTCTCCAGGGGCATGAAGAAACCTGGAGAGGACACGGAGGAAGGCTGCAGGGCACAGGGAGCTCAACTGACCGTATTCGGCAAGTTGAACGGCATTGAGAAGGGGACACGCGTGCCAGGCACCCGTGGGGAGTTTAACGGGAGCTCTGAGGCTGGGGGAAGCAAGGCTTGGTGAAACACTGGCAATTTCTCTAATGGTAAAAGCAGCTTTGGTAAAAATCAGGGTTTTTGAGGGAAAATTTTTGCTTTTCAGTAGCTGAATTTTCTCATCAACCATAGGTAAACTGAAACAATTTTTGGTAGCCTGCTTCATGGACCTTTTGATCTGACTCCTTTGCATCATCCCAGCTAAGCTGGGCACGCTGGAAAGCCACCTTTCCTCAGTACGTGCTGTGCTGCATCATGGGAATCCCATGAATGTTAAGACAACACGGGAAATACGGCTCCAGCAGGGACCCAGCTGCATGAACTGGAGGCCAGCAGTAGGTTGGGAAGTCTTGGAAAGAGCTGAAGGGCAGTCTCAGAAATAACGCACACGTCCAAGCAGAAAGTAGTGCCATGCGTGTGGGGTCTGTGCTAAGCTGGAAGAGCTGCATACTCTCCCCAAAAGTCCAGGAAGAGCTGAGAATGCGACTGTGCTACCGGTTTGTGGACGATGGGCAGGAGCTCTCAGCAAGCAATGCCGACAACGCTCTTTCCCCTCCGCTCTTCCCCTTCCCCAGCACAGTGCTCTCTGCCAGCAAACATCACTTCTGCCGTAGCTGAGATTAGTCAGCCCGCCTGTTTGTTTTCATCGGGATGCCTGGCTCAGCCAGTGAGTGGGCTCGCAACAACGTTGTTTAACCTGGTTCCACGGAAAGGAGGCAACCCCGAGTTATCCTCTGTGTCAGGGTAAGCCACTGTGTCTGGGTAAGTCTTCCCTGGCACCTCCACATCCACGTCTGAAAACAAGAAGAGGTGTGACGAGGCAAAACCCTGCGGGAACTTCAGTGGGAACGTCCTGTAAGGAGAATAACAATTGCCCAGCGGCACACAGAGCGGACAGAGCAGGCTTACCACGGGCTGGCAGCTCCTCCAGGCAAGCCAGCACAGTGGTATCACCAAAGTCTCAAAGACATAGCGAGAGCAATGGGAGCTTTTTGCAGTTGAACTCCACTTTTGAGGTCAGCCTGTTTTTTTATATCATAATCAGGACAAAACCATAGTAAAGTAAGTACAGTAGCATGTGAAATCCAAGCGTAGGTGAACACTGGCCATTACTCTCTTCTTTGTAACACTCTGTAACGGGTGATTTGAAAGAAGATGGTTAACTGGTGATGCTCCGCTCTGAAGATGTGCAAGTCTTGGTGCTGAGGGGAGCTCCACCACTCCAGTAGCTTCTAACAAGGGTCTAAACATCTCGATAACAAGCACAAGGGTGGCTGGTTGGTTTCTTGAAGAGAAACAGCGTTAATCATTTTCAGTGATGGCCTTCCACCTCTCCACGAATGTAATTCTACGGCCACAGCTCTCTCACCAGGCCCGAGACTGCACAGAGACAAACCAGCTGCAAGCCAACCTGTCAGACATGCATGGATGGGGATGGTCTTCCTAGGGTCAGCCATGCACGGGGAGCAGAAGCTGCATGCCAAATTCACTGCCTGCTGGAGCAAAGACCTGGATGGAACCGCTGAGAAACCTGCTGCAGGTCTGACAATGTTCCCACCAAGGCTACTCGTACCACTCGGGTATCTGCGGGCAAAGTGCACGCCGCAGCCTTCCCTCACCCCATCCTTACCTCGAGGGATGTCCACAACCACTCCTCCCAGCCCTGCCTCTTATCAGGAAGGGGACAACTCGCTAATGGCATTCACTGGATTTTACTGGATCTCAGCCCCTCTGAGATCAGCCCTTGTGTGCGGTGCAAGGAGAAGAGCAAGGTGAGAGGAGCACCATGGTGGAGGGGGACGGGGAGGACAGGATGTGAGACTGACAGCCTTGCTGCCAACGGCTCAGTTGGGCTCTTGGGTTGCTGCTTTTAATGACCAGCCACTCGAGAGCCGCACCTCCAGGGGTGCACAGCTGGCAAAAGGTGAAGGCTGTTGGGGTGGTCCTTCTGCTGAAGCAGCCCACGATGACACTTCAAGTCAGGAGGTTCTGTGCAACACCAGGAGGGTGGAAAGTCAGGATCTGTCCCATGCCATGTTCAGGACAGGATGGGCGTTTCAGGCCCCTCTAGAAAGGCTTCATCCTGTTGTTTTCTCAAAACCTAAGAGCCTCTTTATCCTCCCCACCTAAACTGCTACAAATTAATTGTTCACGTTGTATTGTTCAAGGTTATTTGTCATTTACATGCTCACACCACCTAGGAGCCCCCAAGCACTGCACCCCAGCCAAAGGCTACAAGCTGTCCTGGAGCATCTCAGTGCCACTGTCCCACAGACCATGTTACACCGCCATGGGCTGAGAGCTGCCCCCTGTGCTCACAACTAGGATGGGCATGCGGCTACAGGAGCGTGGACAGGCTGCAGCAGCCCTGCAGTTATCCACCTAGTCCCACCCGTTACCTGCTTGGGATCCCTGCTCATAAAGAGCCACAAAGCTGGGCCAGTTACTCCTGGTGGGACTCCACTGACATGGGAGGTGGTACCAGACCGTCATCTTTCCCCTGTCCTTTCATCCAGAAGACTCTGGAAGGCAGCGCGGAAGGCTGCAAAGCGCTGCTCTCTGCTTCGCATCCCCACACTGGCGTTTGTCTTTGCGGGAAGAAACATTTTAAGCATCACAAACAGAAACGATAAAGACAGTGCAACCGGAGGAGAACAGCAGTCAGCTCACTGCAGGAGCCTCTCAAAAGAAAATATCTCTGGGCCAAATTCAAACCTGGTGTAAACACAAGCCAATCTTCCAGCAATGGGGGGATTAGCCCCCGCTCGCACTAGCTTTGACTTTGCTGCTTGATGTTTATATCACTAGAGACCAAAGAATATACTTGCCAGACAAGAATAGGAATCATTAAGTCTGTGGTCCAAAGTGAGGCGCTGAACCATCTCAAAGAGTGAAGCGTGGTCAAAGTTACAGGGATTGGAAGAGATAAATTCATCCATGCCATGCTTTTGAGCTCTATCTGCATCTGTTCATTTATACATATAGAGAAAGACACCATTTAGAGAGATATAAGACATTTTAGTTGACAAATACAACAGAAAAAATATACAGTATGAAGCATGAAAGCTAAATAACTCCTCTGCCCTACATTGCCATTAACTTTTCTCTTTGCAGGCTATACAGTACACTTTTCACCTCCCATTGTCAACTTGCATCAGTTATGGACTATCTTACTGCATTTAGGCAAAAGGGTTTGGAATCAACATCTTGTCAACTGCTCATTATAGTGCATTTATTCTGTGCTTAAAACCAGAACACAAACCCAAGAACTTAGTCTGTATCTTACAACACGCTACGAGTTAACAGAATTTCAGCTCACATAAGGAAATTAGCTCCTATTTAGGTAGCTTCAGTTAATTATAATAGATTCTGCCATTCTAATGAAGTTACAGCTGTAGCATTTTTCTCTACATTTACTAGGTTTTCTAGGTATCAGACCAGTACATTGTTCTTTATCCAAACAACGTTTGTCTCTCCACGGCAAATTTTTTTTTTCCTAACGGCAACTTTAACTGCTGCCTCATCAAAATGAAAAGATGCTCTTTTAAGCATCGCTAAGAAGTTAAATTGATATGTAGTTTGTTGTCACTGAGGCAGTAACCCGATAGCGTGGCGGAGCTGCCAGTCATCCTGACGGAGGGGCTCAATTCCCCCTGCCTGGATTCCGAGCTGCCATTTTTGGGTGAATTAACAGCCTCAACGTATTCACACTTCTCTGCTTTGGGTGACGTTTACGGGCACTAACTCCTAGGGGCTAATTAATTAATCTCAACATGGTGAACTAAAAATACACCGAATGCAGCAGTTGAAATGAAGCCGCCGAGCCGGCCTGGGTGCGGCCAGGCGGGACCCCGCTGGGAGCAGGCTTTGTTCTACCAGCGCCCGGGGAATTAAAGGACACCTTTCACTCGGTTTTGTCCGTGCTCAGCTTCCTACTATGTGGGTTCTTGCCAACTGCTCGACAAAAAGAATAGGATTTAAATCCTTCCCCTGTTTATAGCCTCCTAGGGAACTGGGTGGCCTTGAAACAATGTGGCTGAAAGGACACAAAAATGCAGTTTTCCGCCATAGTAGCGTATGGTGACTGTATTTGTTATAAAAAAAAAAAATTCCCTCTTTACCAGAAGAAACAAAAATCCTTAATTAAAAAAGAAAAAAGAAGAATAAAAGGAGCTTTAAATGATAATGAGATAGCGTTCTTTTAGATATGTTTCACTATTTAATATTAAGCTGTGAAGGATGACATGTCTTCCTAAATACCTCGCTCATGTCTGCACTCTCAGATATTACTGATCATTGGAAGCAATCTTTACATTTTTCTGTATAGTCTGTCGTTAGCTATATACAAACTATATAAATAACATCACCCACTGGAAAGAAATCAGACAAATTAAAGCATGTAACATTTCAATTAGCTGCTAGCAATACG